AGAGTCTCTGTTGTCACCAGCCAAAAAATTCTACAAGTCCCATTACTCTATTTAAACTCTGATGCTGCCTCTTACCTTCCAGAAAAAGTAAATGTGTATGTAACATATGTGCTAGACATGATATTCAGGAGAGTTAGTCACAGGTGCAGTAATGACCTGGGCTATCCTTCCATGCTTACAAAACAGGAAACCTGAGATGAGTTATACGATCCTCCATCAGCAGGCGGGTCAAGGAATGCATTACTCTAGGGTTCTCAGCCAATATGAAACAGTTTCCTTCCAGTATCACTTGATCAGGAGGAACTATATCAACAGTTCTAACATTAAGGATCCCACTAGTAGACATCTGTAGGCTAGCAACCTCTGTGGAACCACCTCTATTCCTTAAAATTATAAGATAGGTAAGTTTGCCTCCACAGTTGTGGCCTCCAGGTGCATGATGCTCCAGAGGTGCTTTAACCTGTATTGACCTTTCCTGGGAACATAGCTGAAATAGGTCCCTTACTTATAGGCTCCATCTTTTGAGAGTAAGAACAGTCCAAATGTTTGTCTCACTTTACAGTTAATTGCATTGTTCTCACACACAAAAGTTCCCTATGAAGTATATATTGATATGCTTTCCATAATTAGGCTGGCATCATTTGAAAGACTTTGTGGGATTGAAAATGCAAACAAAATAAATAGCTAAAATAATATTTAGATGCATGTTACTTTGAATAAGCAAAGGTCAATTTTAATATATATATATATTGGAATAGTAGAGTTATGCTTTGTTTCCAGCTGTTCAGTTACTGGGACTAACTGTGCAAACACAACATTATCTCTTTAAATAGGTTTCATGTGATGTAACTGGTAACTGGAAAATTACAGTTTCTCTATGACCTTCCCTCAGGTGTAACATCTATACAGTTGTCATATATACAGACTGGTTATAAGTGCTGTTCATCACATATAAAGCCTTTAATGACATACGGTCTGGTTATTTGAGCGACTGCCTATATCTGGTTCTGCCCAACCAGTAAATTGGACAGAATGAGTGTGCTGCAAGTCCCCTGATAGACAATGCCATCTATTAGGACCAGGAAGCAAGCCTTCTCTGTTGTAGCATCTGTCCTCTTAGAACAGTAACCCCCCAAGATCCATATGGCTCCCACCTTGATGATGTTCTGAAATTCCTTGAAATCTCAACCATTCCCCAGATCTTGGGGTAGGGTAACTGTTGAGCCTTTTGTTGTTATATATGGTTTTCTCTTCTGGACACGCATGATTTGTTCTTCTGTTTTTTATTGTTTCTTACTTACAGAATGGAATCATTTGGAGTTGGGTGGTCTCTAAATTATATACATATACATATGCATATAAAACTGTGGAGAAGCTATGGATATTCCTTCTCATGCACTATTAGTACAGCCAATTTCTGAAAAGGAACATTGGACATTCTGGATTTTCTATCTGTTTAACAGGACAGCAGGCATCCATTGCACTGATGCTTTAAACCAGATGGAAAAGCACTAGCCTGCATGCCTAAATCATCATTCATTCATTTATCCAACTTGTGAGATCTCAGGTAAGGCCCTTCTCAGAGAGGAATTAGAAGCAATGTTTCTCTCAGTTCTCCTCCACCTTCAACCTTCCCAAGGGAGAAAGGTATGGAATAGACAATATTCAGTTGTACCCTTCTAAAAAGAACTGTTTTCCAATCATTGCCTATTTTGGTTATGAATAAAATTAACTCTTGTAGTGCCAGTGACTGAAGTCATATCCAATTATGTCCTATAACATCACTTAACCTGCATTCATTTACCTACCTGTTCTCTTACCAATGTGATAAGGGGAAAAGTCATTAGAAACATGTTTGGATCAAAGAGTAAAACTATCATTGGGAAAAAAATTAACAGTTGTTAAGTGTGTCTGTCTGTGTGTGTGTAAAAATAACTAGGCATTGACAAAATACCTATCATCCCAACAGATATTATTAAATCGTCATTACAATAAAGAATTATAGTTTTGTCGAAGGCTTTCACGGCCGGCATACGATGGCTGGTGTGGGTCTTCCGGGCTGTG